ATATCTACTTATTCAATAACTCTTTCTCCAACAAAAGGGGTTTTTGGATAAAAAAAAAATTGTTTTTCGATTAAAATGTCATTAATTAATTACCATTTTCAATTGAGTTCAACCACTTGTAAAAACTCATGTCATTTTTTGTTGTTGTTTGGTTTTGTTTAGGAAAAATGAACATAATAAAATCTTTCTGGAACTACAAACTGCTTTTGGTGAAAGTCAGTTTGCTTCTCGTATGGTTTGAAGGATGAGATGCACTTTCAGAGATCACCCGGTTACTATAGCGACAATCAATAGAACCCTGGCTTCCCATTGGCCTTATATGGGCATTTAGGGGATGGAAGTGGAATCACTTCAATGATCCAAATAATGTGAAGAAAATGGAAGAGTTTATAAATCGTTAATGATGTGATGCATTGATTCCAGAAGCTGTGGTGTGGCAGTGGTTCTCCTCTGGTTCCCTGTGAATGCAGGAGTTTACGCTGGTTACTGTGGTCACCAGTGAGCAATAACATGCCCGTTCAGTGTGTTACTAGGATCCAGAAATACCAAGGTTTTCAACATTTATGAATTTAAAAGTACTAAAGCCCCCTCCCACATATGTTGCTGCGCACTGTCAGTCAGATGGCTGACAACCTTCTCACAGGAAACACAAATACTCTTTCTGGACATAAAAAAATCTCCAGCTGGCAAAATATGATTGACAATGGCTGCCCAGGAGCTGACTATGGTTACCTGGGCAACTAGCCTGATTAATTAGCTAGTAATAAACCCCATATAAAACAGGTCTTCCTTTATAAAGAGGAGAGTGATGCTAAGACCTAGTATTTTAGTCTGAAAGCACATAACTGGTATATAAATGTGCTGTAATTTTTTTTCTTTCTGTACTTAATGACAGCTTGATTTATTAAGTAATTCTAATAGTTTTAAGTTGCGATATTGAGGTAGTGATATTAATGTGTTGAGTGTTTTATTTCAGAGATTGGGGTAAATATGAGGAGATATTGTTCACCATTGTAATTCCCAAACAGAGCTTCATTCTCACACAGCAGCAGCGTCTCAAAGATGGAAAAGCAAAGCTTTGAGAAAGACTCTTTCTTCAACATAAGCTGTTAATATAACCAAAAACAACATATTATGAATTAAAAAGTAGAATAATCGGACATGGAACATTTCTAGTCACCCCGACCAACGAAAACGTTTTTACATTTTCAAGTTTCTCTACTTTTATAATTCATCCTAAGCAAACAGGACTGTAAACAAATAGCTCTCCAGAGAGGATCATTAAAGCTGACCTTCTCGCCATCCCTTGTACTGATCTAGGGCCAGGAAATGGGAAACAGCTCTGCAGATCCCACACATCCTGGACACAAACTGCTTAGACTTTTATCTTTGGGTCACTGCTGCAGAGCGCTAATTGCAGAAACCAGCCTGAACAGAGATGGCTTCTCTCCTCAGAAAGACACAAAAAGCACCAGATATTCTGCTGCAGGCATCTTTACAGTGTTTTTAGCAAAAGGTACAGAGTTCTCTGATTTTACTTTTGAAAAAGATGCAGTGCTTTCAGACTTCAAATAAAACAAGATAATATTCATTTAGAAACAACAATACTAATGTTTTAAGTGAGGAAGAGTTCAGAAATCAACATTTGGTGGAATAACCAGGAGGTTTTTAACGGGGTTCAGTGCAGTGGTCTCTTATTTTTTTCCAGACCTGTTTTTGTATTTATGTCTGCACAAATTCCTTGCGCATAAATTCAGAAATTAAAGCTGATTCTGAGTTGGATTCTGAATATGGTGGCTTAAATATGACTTATGCAAGTTGCTCGATTGGCTCATAATCACATATTCCATTTCATCGTTGTGTCTTTTAAACCTTTTTTCATTAGTTCAATGATCCAAATCAGTGGCTGGTTTCAAATGGTGTAATCAAGCGACTCTTTTTCATTCATGCAGCACTACGAAAAAAAACATTTTTTAATCCGGTCTCTTAGCTAAACAGGTTTCTAGACTTCTCATTTATTCATGAAAATCTGTAACTAATCCTCCACCATCTTTCTGTGTTTATACATTTCTCGGACAGATTAATCAAGCTGGTGACAGGGTGACACTGGGCTATTTGTATCCCCGACTCCAGCATTGACTAAAACATTAGCAGCTGACAGAGAATCTTCACATGGCAGTGGACTGTACCCCCAAAGGTCATGTCGGCCTCTCTTTTTGAACGCAAAACAGAAACAGCAGAGAAAGTGACGACTTCACCGGTTGCACAATTTCTACATGGTTTTCCACGAGCCCAGCTGTGTTAAAGGCAGCAGATGGAGGTGAAAGAAACAGAGCAGAAAAGCAGATATGATGGAGAAAGCAACATCCACTGGAAAAAATAGAAGCATTCTCTCTGCATAAAAGCAGCTTTTTGTTATCGGCTTGCTAAATGCATAGCAGGTTAAGTGTGCTGGATGTAGTAGACCTCAGAAAATATGCTTTTAATGCAGCGTATGATGGAAATCTTTTGTAAGAACGAAAGCTGTCTGTACAACAAAACGCAAGAATAAAACCTGGGTTTTTCAGCTTCATCAATCAAAGACTTTTCTAAAGTCTGTTTTGGAAAACGAGACTTTAAATATCAATAGTCTTACATAAAATCTTAAAATAAATTAACCGTTTCTTATCCAACCATTAGATAAGGAAAAAAGCCTAACTTGTCTAATATCAACAATTTGACGCAAAGTAATTCTGAAAAACAGGAAGACAACACCTAACTCTGACTCCCCTTCCGATGTTTTATTCACTCCTGCACTGTTCTGCTCACCCTCTGTCTATTCAGCTATTATGAGCTGCACACAAAACCCAACGTCTCCATTTCCTCTGTGGCTCCGAGAGGTCAGCTTGATCCCTCGCAAAAGGCACTTGTGCACAGAAGCAGATTTCTCAGGTGGATCTCTGTAATTTGAAGCTACAATTTAGCAACTGAGTTTTTTCAGTATTAGTTGGCAAAAGTTTATGAATAATTAACTGAAGTTGACAGCAATGTTTGATAAGTAGGATTAATTGGAAAGTATGTTCTTGAAATCTCTCTGTAAGATTGTCTGAATGATGAGTTGTGAATTGACGCAATATAAAAAACTGAATTCAATATTGATTTAACAACTTTCCAGAGTTATGAGGCTCTGAATTATAAAAGAAATTGGTATCGGTCAAAGTAGCAACTCAGGATTTGTAAACTACAATCGGTGCACTCCTAATGTCATGGTTTATTTATTTTAGAAGACTTTTTATTTCATGTCCTGAAACATCTGACTCATTTTACCAACAACAAACTAGCTGCAGAAAAAAGTCCTTAAAATATACTTATTTAAATTTGATCTTTTATGATTTGGACAAGTTTTATTTATTTATGCACTGTAAAAGATTTGAACTGGATTTGTTTGACTCTTTTAAGTCAGATAAATTTGGTAGGTTTTAGATTTCGAACTGAAAATCTAAAGCTTTCTACCTTACCTTAATTTGCAGGTCAAATTAAGGTAAGGTAATTTTATTCATAGCACATTCAGCAACAAGGCAGTTCAAAGTGCTTTACATGAATAAGAAGGAAATTCAAACTAAACAACAAAACCAAAAGACAGATTAAAAGGGTAAAAGTAACCCGGCAGACAAATTAGCACGTGTCAAACTCAAGGTCCTGGGGACAAATCCAGCCTGCCACAGCTTTTTATGTGACCCTGTAGACTAAAGGGACACACAAATAGAACCGTCAGGATAACATTCTGCTTAGCTATTATTTTATCAATCAATTCAAAGCAGTTTTTATGTATTGAAATGCCAAATTGCATCAGTCAATCACCCCAGTTTCTTGTTAATTATCGTGGAAATTCATGCAAGATCAACAAATCCCTGCACTTACCGGTACATAATTGTGAGTTTACTGTAGATTTTTCACAAAAATGATAAAAAACCATTGCCTTTAAGAGACAATTTATTCCCACCTGGTGGCAGATATTTCTCACTTCTACCCTACTTCTACTAAACAACTGCCTCAGCCTTACTTTATGTCGAATGATACGTCGAGTAATAAAAAGCTGCATTTACATGAGTGCAAATATTTCTAAATTACTACCACAAACACTGTTTTTTATTGCTGGAGAAACTGAAAATATGTTCATTATTATTTCATTTCAAGAATTTATTTATAGTTTCACAGTTTAACGGTTTTCATGAGTACATTCTGGCTTAAATGGCCCTTTAGGAACGTTCATGATCTTGATTTGGTCCAAAAGGAAATTGAGTTTAACCACACTGGGGAGTTCAACAAAGACTTTGTGAATCTGGGAAAACTTGTATTTGGTACAGATCAGGAAGTGAAAAATTAAACAGCTTTCTGATAATTCTACGTTTTTTATTATTGTTTGAATAAAGTCTTTAATTTAATCCCACAACTGCTACACTAACTGTGTTACCTGCGGCTTCCTCTTACATCATTCGCCTGGTGGGAATGATGTTTTTAACAACTTCCCCCAAATTACACATCAGGCCTTTTAATTCCTATCTCCATCACCATCTTTCCCTCCTTCCTTCCTGCATTATTCATTCATAACGAGTGCCGCCATCTTTCGCATCGTCCTCCTTCTCTCCCGCTAACATGATGGCCGACACGAATGGACAAACACAATCAGCAGCAGTTGCCTCAAGAACGCATGCAGACACACAACCACTTAGAGCACTTCCATAACCTAATAGTGTCAGACAAAATGAGTCAGTAGATCATCTGATAGCAGCAACACAGTGAATCATATCAGTCAGCACGCGTGTGAGCATGCTCAGTCGTGCTTACTGTAGTCTGAAATATTTACTGCATATGCTTCATGTTAGACTGTTACTGTGTGAGTGGATTTCATTTTGTTAATTTATTGTTATGAGGATCAGACGCTGGTTTGCAGTAGGAGCTTCGTTCAGCTATGGATGAAGCTTTCAGCTGTGAGGGGTCATGTTGGGGTCAGGACCTACCGTCTTGGGGCAGTGGACGTATCGGGCGAGGCTGATGATCAGGTCGTGTGTGATGGGGTCGACCAGGTTTCTGAAGCTGGCGTAGCGATACAGAACGTCGTCCAAAGACGTTGACTCCATTCCCAGATCCTGCACACATAAAACAGAAACAACATGAACTCTAACCACCTGAGAATGGTAAATCCCAGGGTGCACTGCTTTCTTCTGGGTAGGAATATGAAACAAAAGAGGATTACATCTACTCACAGACACAAAATTTAAAGATCATGTTGTTCCTTTTCTCCAAGCAATTCTGGGTGTGTTGAAACATTGTTAAACACCAAATGGACCTTTATACACAGTGGAAATTGTTTTAGCACCACCAAAGAAGCTGACATCCACAGTTAATAAGCACCAGAGGCTCCATTGAATGCATCAAAAGTTTGACATGTAAAAGCCTATAAAGCACTATACTGTAAGCTTTTATATATTCCAACATAGGAGTGCCAGACATAAATTAATCATTGCCAGTTTTGCTGTTCCTGTTGAGGTGCACAGCAATGGAGAAAAGGTTAATGAGTAAATAAAAGACCTTGGGATTCATCAGCTGCAACTATCTGCACATTATGTTTCCAGTTTCCAGTTAGATTACATGGAAACTAAACTCTTTGAGTACAAACTGAGCGTTGGTCACTGGTGAGTGGGTGGGATAATGGGTGATTTCAGTCATGTACTAATAGGTACCATCAAAAACAAGTAAACAACTTTTTATGTGTAGAAAGCTACCTACAACCTTCTAATGAATCAATTTAAATTTATAAACAGATATGAACTTATCTAATGCATTTTCTCAGATAAAAAGATGTAATTAGAAGCTTTACCTCTATTATTAGCTAATGGATGATATGACACAAACATGATATAGTGGTACTTCACTCAAAGACACTCCACTGCTAACAAAAGGTTATTCTGAAACACATCTATCTGAATAAATTAATAAAATAGTCTATTTCTTGTTGTCTTTGAATATTCCATAACATTTTAATTATTTCAGCTCTTGTCAAACATCTACTCTAATGCCAAAAGTACTGAGATGCTTACAAAGCCAACTACTTTAACAACATAACAAAGCAAAGTCATTGACTTTAACATGGAGTTGGTCCACCATTAGCTGCTATAACAGCTTTGACTCTTCTGGGAAGTCTTTCCACAAGGTTTAGGATTATGTTTATGGGAATATTTTATGAGGTTGTTCGATGAAAAAGCCTAATTCTGATCTGCTTCATTATAAATGTCCTCAGGTAGCAAAACTTGAATGGCCTCCATAGTCACCAGATCTCAGTCGTGGAAAGGGAGATTTGTATAACGGAGGTGCAGCCAACCAATCTGCAGCAACTGCGTGCATATTAATATGGACCAGCCTCTCTGAGGAACGTTTCCAGCACCTCGTTGAATCTATTCCACAAAGGGTTATGGCAGTTCTGAAGGCAAAAGCGGGTCAAACCCGGTACTAAGAAGGTGCATCTAGTAAAGCGTAGTTTCTCATTTTTGTCTCCAACCCTGCTCCATTTTCATGATGTACAGTATGAAAATGAGCGTACGGGTTGGTTTTGCGGACAATTTATTGTCAGTTCAGTTGCAGGACTGATTATTTGATAAGCGACACAGACAGAGATGCTTGGTCTCCTGTAGAAACCTATGATTCACCGAGTTTTTCTTGCTGCCTGTTCTGCGTAGGCGGTGAGGCGCATAATGACAGCAGGTTTGAATGATTGACATGCATGTATTAATTAGCTGCTCCATTTGCAGGTTTCAAAAGCAACAAAGCAGATAGGGGAAACCAACAATTAGTCTATAAAGCAGCTGTCTGATGGCATGTTATGGTACTAACCTGGAACTGAAAAAATGTCTTCAGGACATCAATTTTTTCTCTTCCCTGCAAGTTAAATTCAGAAGAAACTTCTCTTGTTTTAAGTCAGTTACCAAAATTATTTGTATTTGCTAAATGCCACAATAATGAAAGAGGAAAGTTCAAATAGGTCAACTTTTGTGTAATATGTAAGTAGGCAGATCAGCATATATGTCTGTGGGCCTGCATTGCATTAATGTAAGGTGCAATGTGGAAGGTCATAGGTGTAAGCAATAAGTTGTTGATGTGTTTTTCACATGTTGTCAATGTGTTACAAATCTTGTATTTTTGACCTGAACGGACTTTAAAACACCTGGCCCACGCAAATCTTGGCCTGTCAGTGGAGTGAAAGGAGAAAACTGCTCAAGAGGAAACAGTGGATTAAACAGAAAAGCTCACGTCAGTATTTCAGATAGTTAAAACAATAAACTAGTGAATAATTATTGATATCAACTGAAGAGGGTATATCATGATACGTTTTTCAGGCGGGCTGTCCAACCTTACCTGTCAGTATTATGATTTTTCTGAAATGTATCCATTCAAAAAAGTTTCAAGTCTTTATTTTTGACACATATGAGACATTTTTATGTTCTTTTTATTGCTTTTTGCCTTTTTCTTATTGTTGAATCATAAATACCTGTGCCTTAGATGTGGTTCCTGGATTAGTCGTTGTTGCCCTCTTGGATTAATTTTGGTAGACCTGCCACTACTGGGAAAGGTTTGCCACTTCTCCATGTTTTCTCCATTTATCGATAATATTTCTCAGAGTAGTTCTCCAGAGACCAAAATTATTAAAATTGAATTCTTAACTCTTTCCAGATTGAGAAATGTTAAGGATTTTGTTTCTCATCATTTGTTAAATTTCATCAGGGCTGGGCTTCATATATTAATAGTTTTTGACATTTTTGCTCTGCTTCATGCTTTCAGACAGGTTTTATTTAAGTGATGTCTAAATTTTAATAGAACAGCACAAATTAGACCAGGATTTCAGGTGCAAATGAAAAACAGCTACGCTAAGCTATTTATCTGAAGCCAAACCCAGATATGAGGATGCTTATCAAGTCAGAAATTCTGATTAAATTGTCTCCAGTGATATAACAAGCTGAATCAATGCAGAAAAATGATTACTGACACCAAATAATTTTTGTTTTTGGTTGAGGTTGAAAAAGCACTCAAAACCCCTCCCTCATAAAATATACATGAGTTTCCTCGATTGGACTCAGTTTTAACTATATTCAGACACTCAGAGTAATTTATGTGTTCAGAAAACAGTGTAATCTTAACTTTTGTTAGTGTGAGAGCATTCAGACATAAAAGAAGAGGTCTGAACGCAGCCCAGCCTGAACAAAGACAGAACTGCAGTCAGACATGGCGAACGCTGCGACTCAAACGCTTTAGGTAATAAAGGGAAGTGGTGTACTGCGCTGGAGAACTCAGATCTATAAACACTTCACAGCATTCTCACCGAGTTCTGCTGAGAGACAGCTTCATTGAGTCAACATTTTTTTCCAATTACAGAAATTGGGAAAGCACCTCGACCCAGAGTCTGGCTCAACGGCACACGGCTGCTGCCAGTTGTAACTCTCTGCAAACTCGACAGGTTATATACATAATCCCAAAGCCCGCACAAGATGTGAGTACTACTAAATTTGATTCGGTGGTTTCAGCATAAATAAAGAAATATCAAACTGTTCACAATATTACTTTGACCTTTAAAGGAATTGCTGAGTTTATTTTTTGAGAGTGCGAAGAATAATTATTCGTCATAGTTGTAATTTGATGCTGCAGTTTTAATCTTTCCTTCGTGTTTTGAGCTTGGCTTGTTCACAAATACATCTCAGCAAATAAGAACTGATTGCTTTTAAGGTGAGCCAATTAAACTTGAGTTCTTCAGTGGCATTAAACTTTAAGAGTTGACAAGAGACCATAAGCTATTTATCCTGCTGGCACTAAGCTTGCGTGTTTGTTTTGGTTGTGTTACCCAGAATTCCCTGCAGTGTAGGCTAATTCGCATCCTGTTTTCGATCTGTTTGGTATTCACATATGAATTCAAACAGTGCCAGAGTGTGCTTCAACAGAACTGAGACCTAGACGGACCACAGTTCACTTTTTTTTGGTCCACTTCAGAGTTCACATCACACCTCCACAATCAAATTGGACTTTCTACATATAAACACTTCAGTTAAAGCGGACTGAACAGGCCTGGTGTGAATGCAGAATCTGTTAGTGTTAACATGAAGTGGGGTCCAAAAACAAATTCTGTTTAAACCCCCATAAAACTTTGGGCGAGCCCTGAATAAATTCACTCCTCTGATATGCACAGTCTTGGAAGAATGAAATCTATATTTTGTTCAGGCAGCCATGTTGCTCTCCATCATTTCATTCTGAGCCCATTCAAGAATCTAAAGTTGAAGGTTGAATCAGCCTGAATTCATTATAGCAGGAATCAGGAAAAATAAATATCAAATTAGTTCTGAGAAATACTCTGAGTCCTTTTTATCACTCCTATGTAGTTCAGATATTCTGTTATGTATTGAATGAGTGTGAAACATTTAAGTGTCCTTCCATCTCAAACCCTGAAGAGTTCACAGATTTTGTTTCTTAGATGACAAATTTGATCATCTCTCTATGAAAACATGTGTTGATGGAAGTTTTTATGTGCAACAGTAAACATCTCTACTGTTTACTGTTGCTGCCAAAGTGGAGCTGCTTAAAAATTAAATAGAACATTTTAAAAAACACATCTAAGAGAAAAACTGAATGACAATCGACTCTGCATTATTCTGCACTCCATTCATCTTGGTAGTCAGGATATATTGAGAATATGTTACATAATTAAATTGCTTTTACTTAAAATAGAAAAGCAGCAAATTATTTCTTCAACCAAAACAACAAATTGGTTCTTAGAGTTAAGAATCTGGGTCAACTCCACTGACACTTTCTTTGGCATCTTATCAAAAATACTTTAACCCAGAAGAACAGCAAGACAACAATTTTTTAGAGATTTTGACACTATGCCATTAACAGTCTGTTATATTTCCAGTCATTTTTATTTTACTTTTTGGTAACTGCAGTTGTGTGTATCAGATTGGTTGGTTGCATGATATTTTGTTTCTTTTTGTTGTTTTTTAACTGAACCTCGAGTCTGAAATAAAGTTTCTTTCAATGCAATTTCCATCCACTGGTTGCCATAACACTGTTTACCCACCTAAGTTCAACTTGTCATGCTTTCAGTATCTCTCGATAAGATCAGATTAGAAATAATAATAATCCATGCAGAACTGTTTGCGTGAGATTATCAATGACACCATAAATAACCAATAAAAAAATTCAACAGCTATATATTCTATATTTTTGCTTTTTGTGTATAAAAGTCAGAGTAAGAGTAAATGAATGTCATGGATAGATTTAATATAACCTGAACATCACATATGTTATGTAATTTTAGAAGCAGTAGGAGTAATTGTTGCCTTTGTGATCTACATACGAGTTAGGTCACGTGATACATTAATGTTACTTGTTTTTTTTGTTTTTGTGTTACGCCGCCAACACCTTTTCAACTTTTCCTACTCCAGCTGTTGCACTTTCACTCTGCTCCATCCCTTTGTGTCTCGCCACACCCAGTTCTTCCAGCCTGTTGGTTTTTCCTTTCCTGCTGTGGCAACGGCAGCAGCCAGCCGAGCCGAGGCAGTTATTCTGTAAATCAAAGTATTGTTCACCGTAACAGCAAAGCCACTCTGAATATAACAGCTCCGATCATCCAGGAAGGGAGGTGGTTATTTTACTGAGCATGAGGACATTGAATTACTCCCTCAGTTTATTCAGCGTGTAAACAGGCAGTGAGAGTCTGGCTTTTGCTTCAGCGCGTCTATTCAAAATCAAGGAAAAAGGACAAAAAACCCAAACAGAAACAAGTAGAGGTGCTGTGACTGCTGAGAGGGTTGTTCCCACTCTTCAATAAGCCTGTCACAATAATCAATTCATCGAATTAAAGTGAGGTCAATTATTTCCATTGTGATGATTTAAGAATTTCTGAAGAAGGCATTTTGTTTACAGACTTCACAATTCATTTTATTTAGGTTTTCAGTTGTGTTTTATTTTGGATATTAAGATATCTTCCAATATTTTAAAAAATGAAAGTTTATTAGTCTTCAGGAAAGCAAACGTCTATTATTACCCAATTATCTATATTCATTGAAAATGGTCTCGGAACAGCAATATTATAGTTTATCGCAATATTATAGTTTATCGCAATAATTCATCACTTTATAAATGTTATCGAAGAGTGCCATGTCTACTCTTCAACACTGATTTCCACAAACACAGCAGTATCTACCTGTCTGAGTGTCTTCAGCATCTCTGTGGCTTCGTCCTGCTTGCCCTGCTTGGCCATCATCATCATCTCCTGGATCATCCCAATCCGGCGCTGGTATGGTGGCGGCGGCGGCGTCCCCGCTCGGTTCAGCCGGTCTCCAGATTTCAGCATCAGGGAGGCCAAAATGTCCCCCTTCTCCTTGGTGGGAGTCCGTTTCCAGCTGTGCTGAGGACTGGCCCCGCCGGGCTCCTGGCCTTTGCTCTGCTTGGCCCCCATGGAGCTGCCTCAGTATGAACTGTGATAATAAGGACACTGGTCCCACCAAGCAGTTTGATTAATATCAGAGATGTTCTGCTCATTTAGATCAAGTCTGCAGCTGATCACATCCTTGTAAAGCCAGAGGAGCTCATGTTTGTAAAGTGAAGTAGCTGCACAGCTGAAGAAATGTCACCAGTATCACAGCCAAGATTGTAGTTTCCTGCTTCAGACATCAGTTCAGCTCAGGTTGGGAACAGATCGCAGGATGCTGCCTGCAGCATGGCCGCTCAACATGACCCCAACAAAGTCAGGGTGTCCGATCACTAAAGTAGGCTACAGAGCAGAGCGTGGCCTCTCTATCCCGAACACAACTCCAAAAATATCGAACTCCGAGAGCAGCGATCCCCTAAAACAGAACCCGGTGTCCTGGGCTGGCGGAGCAGCAGACACAGAGTCGGAGGAGGTGCTGCATGAGGCAGGGCATGGCAATGTTTACACCGCAGATCAGCATCGTCCTCCTTCGGTTCGGTCGCAGGAAGTCATGCGGTACCTGCATCACACGCGGCGCTCGCCCTCCTCCAAGGTTGAATCTCCATCCGTGCCGGAGCAGCGAGCTGGACGCGGCCGCATCAGCGCCTCGGTCCGCGGGCTGCGCAGCGGCTGCAGCTCCGCAGGCTCGGCTCTCCTGTAGGGGCGAGTCTGTGGTGTCCCCGGGCTGGAAGTGAATTATGCATCGCAGTCTCTGTTCAGCTGAGAGGGGGGGCGACTGTACATGAGCTCAACTCCTTTAAACACACGGAGATGGAGAGAAGGAGCAGGAGGAGCGGAGGGAGCAGCAACACGGACGGGAGGAAGAGAGAGGAAGCAGAGGGAGCTGCAACACAGTCGAGCTGGCGGTTTCTGGGAGTCTCTCCTCCGATTCCCACTGAATGCAGCGTTTTGTTGTTGTGCTGTACATGAGCAGTGGCGTTTGTACTGCAAGCATGAGTCACATCGCTGAAATCCTTTCGCAGTCTTCAAGTTAAATCGACAAATAGAGGAACGAAAGTGTCACACTTTTATATATTACCAGGGCCGACCCAAGGTTATTAGAGGCCTCAAGTAGAATGTTATTGGTGGGCCGAAGTGGGCTCACCAGCTGACATGCTTTTAATATTGACCATGCTGGAACTTTTGAAGGGTTTTTTCCCCTTCATCCAGCATTTCACATGTTTTTGCAGATGAAGTGAACTAATGAAAAATAATGTACATTTGACAAATATGAGGCTAATTTTACATTATTCAGAGCTCTTGTGTGTGATCAATTTGGCCACAAATGTGGTCTAATTTCTCAATAGTGTACCAAAAAAATTTCAAAGGTCATACAGATGCAACCATGTCTCATCAGTACGACCAACTATATGAGCTATTTGAGGAGAAAAATAAACTCTCCAACACTGGACATCTCCCTGTAGTTTAACGACAGACAAGCATTAGGCCTATTTTGTGGTTTAAATCAATCAGAAAAAGAAAACAGCAGAATCAATTTAACTAATGAATGATATATAGAGTTGGTATTTTAGAGTGGTTAGCATATAGCATTCCAAATCTCTTAGCCATTTTACAGAACATTTTTTCTTATGAATGGAATTTTTTTTTTTTTTTTAACTATTTCTACTTTTCTTTTCTGGCATTAAACTTTTATCTTTATACTTAGTTTAGCCTTCATAGTATCTGTTGAAAGTGTCACTCTATATCTAGATAAATGGAGTCTTGTTCCCTCAATCACGGTTGCCAGATATGACTGAGTTCCCAGCCCAAAAAATGTAAAGTACATCCAAACTCGATCAAAACCAGCCCAAATCTCAATCTTTGTTGAATGAACATGCATAACAATTACATAACAAATAACACTCAAGTAAACAAAAAAAGGTTGCAGACAGGCTCACCACAAAATATGCAAATCAGGCAACCAAATAACCTACACACAAAATCCCTTTCCTAGCATGTTGCTATAGCAACTCCAAAGGAGTTATCAATAGCCTATTGAAATATATTCTAAATTCAAATTGAAAAATACTTTGTTGATCCCAAAGGGGAATTAAATAAATATAACTTAATATAAAATTTCAATTTAACATTTCTTTTTTACACACAGGAAACATTTTTAAATTGATAAAAATGAATCGAGATCAGTCAAATAGCATAGAAACTGGCTCTAAACAATTCAAAAATAAATGAGCTGAAAAATAAAAATAAAAGCGCACAGACGTGGCATTTTCTCAAAAATGTAAGTTATTTACTGTTCTGCCACATAATCACAACTTTCGTGGAATTGTCCTTTCTAAAAACTTACCCAATGTTATGAAAAACAGCCTAAATTTTATAAACACACCCAAAGCTGATTTTTTCCAACACAATCTGGTGCCGATTCAATCTGGAAACACTGCAGTGTTATTGTCAATGTGACCTGGTATCGTCCATTTTGGTCTAAAAACTAATATTTGACCTTCCAACTGAGCTAACCATGCTAAGCTAACACTGTTAGCCAAGCAATTTCTAATTTTATCTCTTGTCAAAAACAAAACAAACAAAAAAAGACAAAAACAAAAAAATATATGTATATATATAAATACATATGAAAGGTTATAACGTGCATATAATATTATCCAGACATAAAAAGTTAATCGAAATTTTTAACGGGTTTGTATGGTATAACAGAACATTTATCTAAATAAAGTGGTAAAACTAACTGACCAAACTGCTAAGTGGGTTGCTTGGTAACGGGCAGTGGCCACTGATCAGGTTTTTTTTTTTTTTTAACAGATCAGTTTCCAGACACTAATAAAAAGTATCAGCTGGTTTCTAAAGCAGAAGTAGTTGAAACGTGCAAAAGTTTAACTACCTGAGTTGGCGATGATTTTACAGAACTGGAGTCCACTACATGCCTTAACAAAGTTTTAATTAGCCTATTTAGGCTCCTCTAATCTCCTTCTATAATATTCCTTACTCGCTAATCATTAAGTGAAAATTGAGTTTTAGTAAACATTTTCCTTTACTTATATTTTAACAAGGTTTAAATCGATTATTAAGTTGCCTAAAAGTAAGCATGCACATCTCTTGAGCTTCAAAGAAACTTGGAAACGTTTTACCTGTGGAGTGACTCTACTGACCTCTGGTGGTGGTGAACAATAAAACTACTTCAAGCAAAAGTTCAACATTTACAATTCATTTGTTTTATCCTTTAAACTGAAAACCTTATCATTTTATCCTTATTTTCTACACGAGAAGCCTAATCAGAGAAAACAAATAACTCACTACAGATCCAGACATTTTTGAAAAGGTTTATTTCCTTTACTTTTAATTACATCTCTATTTACAGTATGTCAAACATCAAAGTTGCTTCAAATCGCTCACTAAAGCAGCAATGTTAGCTTCTATTTTCACTTTAAGGGGGAAGTGTTAGACTCATCTCTCGTTCCCTCTCAAAGTTAAAATCAGCTAAAGACATCCATCAAATGGTAAACATGTCTCTTAAAACACAAAAGTTCAAACCTGCCCCCTCCCATACGCTGCTTCTCACAATTTTGCGATTCTGTTATTCCAAGACTATAAATCCCAGCCTTGAGCAGGAGAGGGGTTACATTTGGCTGTCAATGCACACAGTGGACTCAACAGTAGAGCTTGATAACACTAAATCACAGTGGACAGCTTCATTTTTCTAATTTAATGATAATAAAAACCTTCCGGCCCTATGCTGTCCAACAGATAGTGTTTAGATCAGCCCACTTCAAATTTGTACAAACTATTACAGCTAAATATTTCTTCTGTAGTGTGTCTAATGTTAGACAAACAAGAAGGAGAGAATAGAATAGCTGTGAGCAGAAACCTCACCAGGATTCCTGTGGAAACTAAAAAAAAAGAGAGGACCTACCAAAGGCACGTAAAGGCAGCAACAACAGTTGCAATACAATTCATCTAATGGCTGTTGTTAGAAACTTGAAGCCACATTTTAACTCCAATGTCAACTAATAGAAATCAAAACAATCCGGAATATAACTAATGTTTTTAAAGGAACTAACATGGCTGTGCAACACAATCCCTGTCGGTCGTTGCACTGTGTGAAAGTTACTAGAAAATATTAAACATGTACTTTGAGTTCAATTACTAGAAGTTACTGTAACTGTAAAACTGTAATGATGGGTTTCTGCTGGTACAAGAATGACAGATCAAGTTAGGATTGCATGCAGTGCATGTCATTATTTTTATGCTTGTTTAGTAGGAAATAATGATGTCCACTGTGCTTCACTGTTGTGTCACTCTTACATGACTCCAAACCAGGTAGTCTGATGCTTATAAAGCAGGGGGAGAATGAAAGAGCCCAAGTAAAATAAATGTTATAAACCCCAAACAGACGACAGCATAGAGATGAACAGTTTTCAGCTGGCAAATAAGAAATAACTTACTGGTTCAATTTGAGTCCTTCTCCATTTTCTCAAACCAGAAGCTCAGCAGGGAATCCTCCCACTTGCAAATAGTCGGGTCAGTGTTTCAGTAATTGCCCGTCAGAACCAAATCTGCAGTAATTCTACATTTGACTCAAATGTCTGTGTCTCAAGAATGCACAGAACAGCAGAGTGAATTTCCACACTGTCATTTTATCGATCCCACTCTGCTGCTGGGTGCAGCCTGATGGCCAGAGTTTGGATTATGTCAACACTCCTAAAGTCTCTTTTTGACTGAAATTGGCTGAATGCTGAGACAGGGCCGCAGAGGTAAGGACAACTGCAGAGATGACCCAGCCGGGAACTGGCGTGGTGGCCAGCCAGTGCCAGTTAGAATGTGTAGCCAGCAGGGGGCGCTTTGTCATCTTTGTTGCTCTCCAGAGAGAAGGGAGGAATCCTGACGTCAAAGTGGGAGCCGTCGGTTCTCTCAATACGAAACGTTCCCCTGGAGAAAAACATTTGTTTGTAACACATTTATAGACAATCTATAATTCTGGTCAGACACATGGAAACAATTAGTGCTAATGACATGAATGATACATTACTCTTGTTGTTAGCTCATATTTTATTAGCCTATTTAAAAGTGTCAAATTGCTTTTTAAGTTTCTGTGTTTGTCATTTTGTTTAATTAAAACATGAATCTCTTTAAAAGAGATCGTGGATCTGCATAGAAGCAGCTTTCAACTTCTGTGCACCACAAACCTGGAATAAATTTCCTGAAAACTGCAAAACAGCTGAAACACTGAGTTCCTTCAGATCTCAGTGTTTCAGCTGCTTCTGAAACAATATAAATGAAACATTGATAAATATTCTGATGTGCAATAAAGCAAACAGACAAAATGTTATATTTATATTGTTGACTGTGTTCCATAATTGCATTTTTGTGTTTTTACAATGTAAAACAAACTATTGAAATGTGCTAAAACTTGATTGATAGACTGGCCTTTATTGAACCTGTGTATTTCCTGTTAGTAGAGAGACAGGAGAACTGGAATACATGCAGCAAACAACCTGAGGACTACAATCTCTGACTGCAGAGCAGTAGTTTTTTAAACAGATAAACTGCATTGAGTTTACATTTCTTCCAAACTGTTCAAATACATAAATATCCCTTCTGATATTTGGATAAATGTCTTTTAGTAAGTTGCAACTCAACCTCTCAATAAGCTGTTGGCACCATTCTGGTTGGACATATAACCAATCAACCCATCAAAACCAGGACAGATCATCTAAAGAAGATGGTTTTTGTGGCATGGACTCAGCTTTTAAAACTGGGCCTTGTGCCAAACTTCATTTTCTTTCATCTGAACGTTTAGGTCAGATGGTTGAAACTTGAAAACAAACAGGACAATGAATGTGTATGTATATGCTGGGATTGCATATGCAGCGTGTGAAGCAGCGTTCTCACCACATATGACCACTGGGAGCTTGTAGAGACACATGGCTGCTGTACTGGAAGGCTGGCTGCTCT